TCTTGACCCGGCAGCCCACCTTGCGGGTCATGCCGAAGTCAGCCAGTTTGACACGGCGGCAGTCGCGGTCGAAGAGCAGGACGTTCTCCGGTTTGATGTCCCGGTGCACCAGGCTCTTGCTGTGCATGTAGTCGAGGGCCAGGCCCAGCTGCTGCACGCAGCGCTTCACCAGCTCCTCGGGGAGCCCCACCTGCAGGTGTGAGGACATGGCATCAGCCACCCGCCACCAAACCCCACGGTGATCCCACCCAGCTCGGTGACTGCCATATCTCTGTCTCGTTACACATCCAACACCACCACGGCTACTTTCATCTGGGGTGGCTCTCTGCAGCAGGAGGACAGGGGGTAGGTCCCGGGCCACCGTAGGGCTGGGGTGATGGGTCTCAGGACCTCCAGGGGATGAGTGATGGGTCCCAGGCCACCCCCGAAGATGGGTGATGGGCCCCAGGCCCCCCTAGGGATGGGTGATGGGTCTCAGGCCACCCTAGGGATGCATGATGAGTCCCAGACCACTCTAGGGACAGATGATGGGTCCCAGGCCACCCAGGGGATGGGTGACAGGTCCCAGACTTGCTTTTAGGTGCTTGTGGTCAGGGCCAACCCATACAGGGTCCCCATGCATGGAGCCGCCTCCCACATGGCCACCAAAGCATAGTGGCAGCTTTGCTCAGTGCCCTGGGGACACTGAGTCCCCCACACCCCAGAAGGGCTCCTGCGGGAGAGGCAGGGGCTGTCACCTGCGGCGGGATGATGTCAAAGAGGTCCCCGCCGGGGGCATACTCCTGAGCGAACACGTAGCAGTCCTCAGTCTCAAAGACCACGTCGAAGACCTTGATGATGAAGGGGCTGGAGGAGAGCGTGTTGGTGATGCTGAACTCCCGCAGGAAGTTCTTCAGCTTCGTCTTGCTCTTGTTGACGAACTTCAGGGCCATCTTGGTGCCTGCAGTGGGCAGGGGATGGGGGTGAGCCCGGGACACAGTTGGGACATGCCAGGCACCCCGCTCCCAGCATGGCCGCATCCCCCACACCCCCCTCACCTGTGCTTTTGTGGGACACCAGGTCCACTTTGCCATAGGTGCCCTTGCCGAGCTCGCGGATGAGGTCGTAGTGCTTGCTGATGTCGGTGCCCGAGAGGGTGCGGATGGCCAGGGACTGCATGTCCTCAGTGATGAGGGGCACCCCGCAGCAGGCCAGCTTGCGCGACGGCTCTTGCTCAATCGAACCTGCGCTCATGGCTGCGCTGCAAGGCAAAGGCACATAACCATTTTTGGTGGGTGCTGCAAAGCCCCCGCTCCCCCTCCCAGCCCTGGGGCTGGGAGCTTGCAAAGGTGCACCAGGCTGCTGGGGACCCCATGGGGACCCCGGGAGCCAGCCCTGTCCCCTCCAACCTCATGCCTTTGCAGAGCACCGGAGGCCCCTCCAGAGCCGAGCCCGGCTGCAAGCCAGCGATCCTCCGGAGCGGGGCCGGGGCCATGCCGCAGGCACCGCACAGGTCACAATGGCTATACAGCAAATCACTCCACCGTATGTCCCTGAACATCCATCGGCACTGACTCTCGGCTTTCTCCTACCAGGGTGCTGGATGCTCTGGTGCAGAGCGCAGCCAGCGGCACATGGACGACAGCGCCGACGTTCCTCACTCCCATCAAACTGGCGGCGGTTTTTCCTCGCCCTGGCCATCCCCGCAACGAGAACCGAGCTTGGACTCACCCGCCACACCACCGCAGCAGCGAAACCACCCCGGGATCTCCTCTGATGTCTTCAGGGCGCTGCATCACCCTCCATCACCCCCCAAGAGCACAAACCCAGTGCCCCGCCGAGCCGCCCCACGCTGCAAGCCCGGAGCAGAGACACCAGCACCCCAGGGCCGGTGGGCACCTCAGTAGATAAATCCGGCTGCTTTTGATTTTGTAGCAGATTGACAAAAATCATGGGACAGCAGCCCAGCGGGCGCTGGTTTATATTTAGATTTTTAATGCGACGTCTCACCGGGGAGGGAGGAAAAAACCCCTGCTCAAATTGAATTCCGCTTGCCTCCGGGACCAGCAGTGCCCTGGGTCCGATCGGTGCCAGGACGGAGCTGGGAGTGTGGACAGCCAGTGGCCGCAGCTGTGGGCTC